TTTGTTTAACGATTTTCGTATGTTAATAATAATAATATTTTATTACTTATTTATTTTATGGTAGTAAACCGAGCAAGTGCGAAATTTTGCAACCGTATACCAAGATGTAAAGCTAAGTGCATTACTCTATGCTACTTAAAGCTTCCCATCGAAGCTCGAGTATCTGTTAAGGAAGCAGTCTTGTGACTTATTTGACCGTACAAAATGTTAATGAGTTTTCGAGTACCAATATGTTCCACTTTTATTAGGCTCTTTATAATACCATGTTAAATTATTATGTGATAAAATCTTGGCAGTTGATTTTTACTTACTTTTAATTGTCGTGTCGATTTGGTTCTTTTTAAATATGTACAATCTAGATGATAGTACAATAGCATGATACTATAACTATCATATTTTCGAACAACATTAAAAATTTAATAAACCCCGTACGCAAATTTATTGTCATTTAACGATTACACTGGCACGCGTGAAGCACTTAATCGAGTTATCGTACGCCAAAATGCCTTACATCATTTTGTAAAAGAGCTGATACTCTTACACTGCTGGACCGATATTAACCAAACATAGCTAAGAACCACCGAAAGGAAACTGGCTTTTAAATGAAAAAAACCGCAACGAAATCGGTCCATCCGTTTGAGAGCTGCGATGCCATAGACAGTCACACACAGACAGACATACAGACATCGACGTCAAACTTATAACACACCTTTTTATGCGTCGGGGGTTAAAAACATTGAAATGTAGCGCGGTCTTGTAGCTTAAGGTCTTTGAACAAAAAAGCGCAATGAAGAGTACAACTAGCTGTCAGTGTAGATAGCATTCGTAGTAATCGTAATTTGAGAATGCTGGGAAAGGAGCTGTGTCAAGAGGACTCTCCATAGTGTGAATTTAGATAAGTTACACTTTATGATGTCAGTAAGATCATGTATAGATGAGGTACTGTATATTTATCTATACATATAATAAAATTGTAACTAAGCCGTATTTGTACATTACATATTTTTTGGAGATTGGAAAAAAAAATTTTTTTTTGCTAGTACAGTATAAGTATTATACATAATATTTTTTAATACTTGTCATATACCTTGTTATTAAAATGAAAATTATTATTAAAGAAGGTATTGGTTTACGTAATATGTAAGTAAATTAAGTTGTAAATATGTATATTAAATATTCTAGTCACGTATGCACGAGTATAGCTCTGCAAGTGGTAACTGGTTTAATGTTTACCGTTTAAATATTCTACTAAATAGTTTAATAACACCACCACCAGGTAAATTCTAAAAAATAATTAAAATTCTAAGAAATCTATTGTTAAATGACACGCCGGCGTGTCCGCGGTCGTGGAGGGAATAACATCTACTTTACTAATATTCTCATAATTTTAAATATTGATATTTCTGTAAGCAAAAATACTGTTGCAAAAATAATACATATTATATCTATAGAGTTACAATGAAATTAAAAAATAAATCCGTCCAACTTAAAAGTAATTGTACTCTCGTTTTAAAATGTATATTATGTTATACTTTAGTGTTTGTTTACCGAAGTGTTTACTTACAGCGATCATAAAACATTTTATATTTATTGAAGATGATTGCATTGTATATACAGAGTGTTTTTTATTAACACTGTAAAACGTTGCGCTTTCTTTGATACTTTATACTAATGTAAAAGCCGCGCCATACGTCTTTGTCCTATTCACGTTGATACCATTTTAGTCCCTCAACGACCGCGGACACGCCGGCGTTACAGTTAACGATAGATTTCGTAGAAAATTAATTCATTTCTTAGAAATGTACCTGGGGTGTTAAACGGTTATTTATAGAGATTTTAAGGTGATTAAAGCTTATAAGTACTTGGAAAATTTGGCAATAAAGAGGTTTTGTTTATTAGTTACTGCCTCTTTAGTCTAGTGGTTAGCATGTTCGGCTGCAGACTCAAAGGTCTTGGATTTGAGTCTGGGCTTTGAGAGTGCACGCATGTGTTGTGTATAGCACCTATGTACATATATCTCGCCTTGAGTAAAAGCAATCAGTAGGAAATTATTACTAGTGATCCACCATTGCATGATATTCCTGAATATAAAAGACGCGAATAGGTCGGTTTAGTATTTGCCTTTCTTTAGAATATTTTGGAAAATTATAAAGCCAAATATCGGACCTGCGAACATCGCGCTTATTCTGTCTAGTTTGCATGTTGTATGTGTTTATTATCTAACTTGCTTCCCTATACAAATTTTCATCCCCATTTTCAAGCCCTTAAGTGATCATTTCCGGGATAAAAAGTATTCTATGTCCTTCTCAGGGTCTCGAACTATCTTCTTACCAAATTTCACAAATCGGTTCAGTAGATCCAGATAGTACCCCCTACAACCTCACAAACTCACAAACTTTACCTCTTTTATAATATTAGTATAGATATCTATGAATCAATCACCTCATCTATTGTGTCATTGGTTTTCGTGTGAGGTTTATTCTGTTCGTGACTGACCGACACGCATGATAGGGTACTACAAAGTACGTGCTTTAAATAAACTATAAGTTAGTTTCTTGTAAGTCAAGATTTTGTATGTAGCTGTTTTTTTAATGAAAATATTATAATTCTTGTATTATGTTCTGATATATGAACAAGTCTTCAATTTTTGGTTCGTTTGTTTGTAATTACATTATTATTAGTATTTAACTACTTTGAGCTAAAACTGTTATTCGTATTTTCGTCTCTTGCTCTCTCTCTCTTTCTGTTTCTCTCGCTATAATATTTCAATTAATTATTGTAATAAAAACCTATTACAAACAATATATAAAACAAAAAAAAAACTAAAGTAATTTAAGTTCGTAAAAATATTCCATTTCTAAGAATAAAACACAATGGGACAATATATTATTTACAATTTTTTTATAAAATAAACAAATTACAATTTTTTTCCAACAGTGAAACAGCCTTGGCAAAAAAATATTTAAAAACCAAAAAAAAAGTAACATTACTAAATATATTTTTTGTAATTAATTTAATTAATCTATATTTTAGCAAGTACGCATTTCCTTAGCAAATTCCTAAGGACTTCCCATCCACAAATAATTTGGCAGCGACCTTAGATGATGGCTATAAATAGACTAGACTAGTCTACCAGCTGTTTAGTTAGTTCATTCACCTTGCCGAGTTTTTAGTTAAGTTTTTACAATTTTAATTGCAATAATCTACTTTAATTCTACTTGGGCCGGCACACGTCCTGTTCAAATATTCCTGTCTTTAAATACATATAAAAAAACATATAGAAAATGTGTCTTAGGGCTTACCTGAATTTTCTAATTTCCGGGCAATTTTTCCGATTTTCTTACTACGAAAGTACATTTAAAAAAATGTGACGCGCTTAGCACCGAAACGTATTTCACATTAATTAATATATATATATATATATATATATATATATATATATATATATATATATATATATATAATATTTAATTATTGTACTAATTACCTACAAAACCTAGATCTTTTCTTAGTCTTTAGTTTATAAACAATTTCTACGGAAGAAATCATACGAGTAAGAACAAAATATATCATCTTTCTACGTATATGTATAATTATGTTATATTAAGCATTGTTAAAATTTTCAAATTATGTATCGGAATGTCCCTAATTACTTAACTTGCTGTATATGATAGTTTGTTGGCGGTAGAATAACTTCTAAAGGAAGTTAGGCATGTCTATGTCTACGCAAAACGTAAAATGTGTTTTCTTATCTATTCATATACTTAGGTACTGTTTTATGGTAATCGAGCTTTTTAATGAGTGTGTCACTGATAGTTTGGCAAACGCAACTGCTTTAGACGATTACAATTAAAAAATAGGCAAATAGGTTTTAAATTTCAAGTATTTTGGGTTAAGGACTGTGTTTTCAGAAGTTTATATTATACAAACTAGCATTGCCCGCGGTTCCGCCCACGTTTAGATGACCAAAAAACAAATTCTTAGGTTTTACATATTAGTATACTCTTACATTGCAGTTTTTCTATTTTTTCTCAAAAATGAGATATTTTCTCGCGGTAAAAATATTCTATATGTGACCCGGATAACCAGCTATCACCATACCAAATTTCATCAAATCCCTCCAGTGGTTTTTCTGTGATGCGGTAACAGACAGACAGAGAAAAATTCTAAAAACTATAGATTCGGCTTCTGTATCGATTATAATGTTTATTTCAATAAGATTTTTCAAAAAATATCTAATGTACGGATTCGGCTTAGTTACAATTTTACTATATGTATATATATACTATATGTATATATATATATATAGATGTCAGTATAGATACATATTAAACTGTATCCTTATTGAGTTCAACATTAAGTTTACGAATCAATCGGATTCCAATTTCCAGCATTATTGTTTTGATATTCTTTTTAGCAATAGAAATGTCATACTTTGTCTGGAGTTTATGTCAAATATCTATCCCTAGTAAGGAAAACTCTAGATAGATAGGTTATTGAGAACTGCTCTTAGAGGTTATTAAACGCGGTATGATCAAAGGATATTTTAAGAGGGCAACGACCTGTTTTATGTCATCCCTTTAATAATGAATATGAGACAGTGTCATCATTACCTTACATTTATAGCTTTGTAATTATGCTTTTAGTGTACGTGTGTTGTTTTATAATGCATAGATTAGTATTAATTTTGTTTTCATTGACAATAAAAATATATAGATATATTAACGTATACAGTGACGTTGTTGGTGTTATGAAATAAAGATGGAGTATTTTCTTGGCTTAAATAGAAGCAGATTGTTGAAACTTCACAATATACCTAGTAAAGTTTTGGTAAATTAGTGACTTGCAGTCAAAATGAATAAACTACATTCCCATTGCTTAAGTGCGAAAGCTCTAAGTCAGATGACCTCTAGCCAACAGCTAGGAGTGCCTTGTTTTAAACTAAAAAATATTTTTTAACATTCTTCATATTCAATGTTAATTTATTTTTTTCATTACAGATGAGCGGGACGCGATACAAAAGAAGACGTTCACGAAATGGGTCAACAAACACCTTAAAAAGGTAAATTTGCAAAAATAATCTTTATTATATATACTTTTTTATATACGATTGTATTTAAAATAAATTTGCTTATGGTTTTAAAAATGTTTGTTGCAAAGTCGTCAAATTAATAGACTATCTATTTATACACTATTCCTTTGTATCTAACGATAATAATTAATTATCATACTAGCGACTCACCCTCGCTTCGCTTGATGTTCTATAGGGACCTATACAAAAAGTTTATCCCACGGGAAGCGTACATTTTTCCGGGGTAATATATATCATATAGCCTTCCTCAATAAACGGGCTATCTAATGCAAAAATAATTTTTTAATCGGATTTGTAGTTCCTGAGCTTAGCGCGTTCAAACAAACAAACAAACACACTCTACCACTTTATAATATTAGTATAGATGTAAAGAAAACAGCAAAACAATAATATATTTAAACAAAATAATCTTACGCCTGGTACATACATTCTGAAGAGAAATCTTTAGTTATTTCGTAGTAATACGAGAAAGTTAAAGCTATTGAAGTTACACTGTTCAACGGTAATTATTATAATGGTAATAAAATGTGCGAGTCCTACCCTAAACTTTCCTTAAGAGAATTTATTGTCAAGTTTTTAGTAGTAGTTTATCTGCTGAATGATAGAAAAGTGATTGGACATTCGCTAAGATCTCCAAGAAAGTTTCTACAATATTTAATTACGTATTTAATTTATGGCAATTCCAAGTAACTGTTATATTGGTGGTTAGGATAGAGTGTGGTCCGGATTAATCTCTATAATATCCTTTCTAAGTATAGGTACTGCATTATTTTCATGTGTATATATATATGTATGTAATATGTATTTAGGCCTTTTAATGACTTAATCTGGGCACGGGCCTCCCTTTGATACGAGGCGGATCAGGCTAGTTCACCACGCTGGCTAAGTGCGGATTGGCGGACTGAGCATGTTTTTTGGAAACTTGCTAATTTCTTTTAAACATACGGGTTCCTTTACGATGTTTTCCTTCATCCTATGACAAGTAATCATGGTGAAAATGATTCGTACTTAAAATTAATAAAAATGGGATACCCGAGACTTGAATCCGCTTAACTTGGTTTCCCAAGCAAGCGCGTTACCACTAAGCTACCACAGGCTTTTGCCAATACCTTTATACTCTGAGCTTTTAAATAAATAAACATCGCACATTTCATATTCATTCTTCTCACATTCATATCAATGATTCAGTGAAATTTCGAGAACAATTTATGTTTACAGAACAAGGGAAAGTTCTGTTAAACGTGGCCCATAATTTATGTACGTACATAAACATATAAGCGTAAATATTTAATGTTCCATATTGGTCTGGCGCCGTGTCATCCTTGTATTGGTCAAGATGGTTGCTTAAGCTGAGTTATGAACACTACTGTTTAACTTTTAACATAGGTCCTGTTATGATTTATAATATTCTTACTAGTTTTGTACGAAGGTATGGTTATTTGTTTGTTTGTCATGCTTTAGCGTAGAAACAAAGTGAAGGATGTGACTTTTTAAAGATAGCTTTGGAGCTAAGTGTCAAATTCTTATCTCCTATAACAATTTAAATACTATAAGTATAGTATTCAAACTGTTATCTTTCTATATTTGTATATATAAATAAATCTTTATGTGTGTGTACGTTCCCTATGAACCCCAGAACGGCTAGAGCGATTTTGATTAAATTTCAGGCTATCTTCAGTTTAGCCCAGTGGGTAATTCTGTGAAATTTGGTAGCGGTCGGAAGTTTGGACGCGGGCGAAGCCGCGGGTATTGCTAGTAAGTAGGAGATAAGAATTTTTAGTGTTTATTGTCTTTGTTAAGTCAGAATAAGTTATCGATCAACCTTGATCCTTAGCTATAGTTTTATCGTGAGCTAAATCGGTTCACGTTTAACGTAATATTCAGATGTTTCGAATTATTGGAAATGATAAAATAGCCTTATTAGAAATATGCAAATACTAGCGACTTACCATCGCTCTGCTCGGGTTCGTACCTAGTTACGTTTTGACGTTTAGTGTAGATTTCTCAGAGATGAGATATTTTCCCGCAGTAAAAAGTATCCTATGTGTTGACTCGGATTACCAGCTATCTTCGTACCAAATTTATCAAAATCTGTCCTGTGAGTTTCTCGTGATGCGTTCCCAGACAGCCAAAAATTCTAAAAACTATAGATTCGGACTCTATATCGATAATAAAGACTATTTCAATACCTAAGATTTTCCAAAAATATTTAATGTACAGATTCGACTCAGAATTTTATTATAAATGTATAGATTTATGTGAGTCATAACTCTATTTTTTGAGCCATAAAACTCATAAATAGATACCAAAAATAAAACAGTTATTAAAATTACTTTACTTTATAGATACCAGTTATGCCTAACATTATTTTTTTTAGTAATTAAATCATCTCATGGTTTAAACCTTAAATCCTTTTAAACATCATTTTTATCAACGGTCAACAAAAAAATTGAATGATTCACGTATAACGCATAACGTCATCACTTACGTGTATGGTTTTCCCCTCCATTCCCCCTATTTCGTAATAGAGCCCTGTCCGATATTTGATGTTGACTAGAGTGACATGACATTGCATGAAGCCATTGTCGAGAGATGAGTTGAATAATGATCACAAAAATCGTATTAACTTATGTGATTTGGTTTCTTTGACCGACTTAAAAAAGGAGGGGTTAAAATTCTGTTGTATATTTTTTGTGTGTGTGTGTGTGATACAAAAATTTGCCAATTTTTAACCGATTTTTTATATTTTTTAATGAATGTCTCACATTGCGAACGGTGTGCTGATATAAAATTCAAGAATGTGGTCGTAAATGTGAAATTGTTACTTTACTAAAAGCCGACTTCAAAATAACTTTTAATGCATTTCTATTTGACGAACCATTGATTAATGCTGGAGATAGCGAGTTTGATTTACGCGCGATGTAAATGTTTTTTTTGTTTGTGTAAAGCCAATGACTTCTTGTAAGATTAAGGACACAAGTTAGTCATTATTTTTGGTACCAATAAACTTTGATTACTTTCAATTTCGTGTGCCCCGAACGTGGACCTGCTTGAAAAGAATGAAAGCTAATTTGAAGAGGAAAAACATTAAAAAATATTCGGAGAATTGCATTGCAGTGCATTCATAAAATACCAAAAAATAAATTCTAAATAAATGGTCTATTTGTTCCGTATGCTATTTCACAGAGTATGTACTACATCTCTATGATATTTAACTATATTTTTGGATTTTTTTGCGGTTTTATTTTGATTTTTGGTTCCCGGCGCTTGAAGAGACTGAAAATGTCAAAGCTTCGAATGCTTGAAGAGACTGAAAATGTCAAATATTCGCTTAAATCTAAGAAGGTATTATATAAAGGTGCTATTAAAAATATTAAATAAAAATATTGTAAGTAACTTTGAATTAGGTACTTACTTTTATTGCATTATCAGTTTTGCAATCTTCTGCAGTTTAGTTTTCAACATATGTGTATGAATGATTTCTTATTAACCGTCAGCACTGAAGATTCTTTATATTGAGAAAGTAAATGATGTAATCTAACCATTACGAGTTCTGCCAATTTCCAATAAAACTACGTCAGAAATATCATTTTGTCTGGAATATTGAATGAAAATATATAAATTTAAAAATAATAATTGTATGGTATAGAAAATAGTTTTTCGTGAATAACTTCTTTAAGCGCTCACGAAAAAACCATACAAATACCTACAAAAGTCAATAAATGTTGATTATCCTCATATCAAAATATGCGTGTAATTAAATCTAATTATTTAATATAAATTTTATGTAAGCTTTTGGTGTAAATTAATTTGTTTTGTTTTTTTTTTATATTTATGATGTCATCGCAAACTCCATGACGGAACTTTAATGATGGTGATATTTGAATGCAAAAACCAATTCCCATAATATCGTGTTGCACAAGCACAAAGGATGACGGAGGCTTAGGTATGACGCATAGTGTAGGCATCTCAGGATGTTTTGGTAACTGGCTTACTCACGAGATACTCGATAATGGCTTTCATTGTGAAAGAGAAACGATACGGATGGATTATATTATTTGCTGGAGTTGATTCCGGGCATGTAAATTATATGATATAAATTTAGTACTTAGTTGTTTCACTCGGATGCTTAACGCGTCGGTCGGGTTTCGTTTAAATGTTTCGTTAACAAATAGTTTTTTTTTAATTGTATGTATGTATGTTTTTATCCCTTATTGACTTCCCACTGCTCCTTTCAATACGAGGGGAATCAAGCCATAGTCCACCACGCTGGCCAAGTGAGGGTTGGAGGACTTCACATGTCTTTTTGAAAACTTGCTAGGTTTTCTTAGACATGCAAGTTTCCTCGCGATGTTTTCCTTCACCGTAAGGCAAGTGGTAATCATGTTAGAAATGATTCGCACATAAAAATATCTGAGGTGCGAGACCCGGGATTTGAACCCGCTTCACTCGGTTTACGAGCGCGTTACCATTGGGCTATCAATGTTAAAGTAGATTTACAATGTCAATATTATTTCTGTGGTTAACTAAAGAAGGCAAACAATATGTATTGTAGTCATATAATATTTACTATGTAATGAAGTAAAGGCTCAGTACAACTTGTATGGTTAATTAAATACTAGAAAATAATTATGATTTCATCAAACAACCTCATACTAGCGTCTGACGTAACTATTTTTTTAACTGTGGGTGTTCTTTTTAATTTTCGATGGACCACGTAAGCTTTAGGCCCATATCTGGTAACTGATCACAATGACATGGTCCTCGCCCACTGCCTATTAGCCAATGTATGTCCAAAATATGATGAATATGGTATTTTTTAAAAGGTATAATATATCACTTTCAGTTTTAAATTTCATGCATATATTTTTTAAGTTTTTGTAAGGCATTGATATCGCACAGAAACTTTAATAACTTAAAAGCACACAGACTACGAAATCATGGAATAACCGTTCTACGGAAAATATTTA